AACTTTTTAAATAATGGACCTGATTGCATGGGAAAAGACCATTACAGTACCTCTGGCTTATTTAAATGTAATTTCTATTTAAAAATTAAATCCTGCATGGATGCACTACTTCATATATATGTGCGTGTGTATACACACAATTTATATTTTCATCATCATCATTATCTTCATGTATTTGCTTCAAAGAGATCTGAAGTGACGGTGCTGAGGAAAATTGCGCTGATCTGAAAGCAGCCTGTTTCCGCCCTTAAACAACACATCTTTATTTTTGTCTCGTTTTATGTGTGCCATTTCAAATGTTTTTATTATTCGTCGCATTATTTTATTTTTTTAGTGCTGTTAACTGTTCTCCTATTTTATTGTTTTTAGTAGGAATTTTTATCTCCAACTATTTATGCTTTGTTCTTATGTATTTTTCCTGTTCTTATTGTGTTTCTTGGTCAAGCATTTAGCTTTTTTATGTACAGCACTTTGGTTAGCTGCCATGCTATTTTGAAATGGTGCTTTCTAAATAAATATGGTATGGTATGGTATTAATGACTTTGTCAACTGCAGCCTGGCCATCTTTCCATCTCCAGTGTTTATAAATGAAAGCACTTCCAGTAAACTGATAAATGCAACACAAATTAAGACTTTACAACGTGCCGGTTCTATGGAAATGACGGAAGTATGAAGTACATTTTTCATTATTAAAACCTCACGGGCCATGACTGAGAAACAGGATGCTGTGTGGTTAAAACAGCAACAGAAAACGTCACAGTCATGCCACAAGCCACCTGATACAGCTCACTCAATCTACAAATATTCAAATACAAACCAAAAAAGAGAAAAAAACCTCACGTCTAAAAATGCTAAAACTTTTTTTTTGTTTTGTTTGGCTTTAGCAAACAGTTAGCCACAGAGACAGAAAGCAACTTCAAAGAGCAGAGGCGTATTTCAGTGTCAGGCAAAATAAGAAATAGGCCAATGAGTTTAAACAATGCATCATGTTTTTACACTTTAGATTTGACATTTCACCCAGAGCCCTAAACCATTGACGTCAGTCCCAGTCATTGTCAGAGTAGTGTGACGTCTACACCCCCTTCTGCATTATTGCTTCTTCAGTAGCGTTAAAAAAAAATTGAAATGTAAACTGAAGAGATATAAAAACAACTGTGATTGATTTACGTTAAAGTGCATAAATTTAGCCTTATTGCACAAAAATGTGTTTATCCAAGTGTTTTTCCCAACAAAAAAATAAACTGCTCCAAAATGAAAATTTTATTTCAAACTTTGATAATTCCTGAGTTCAATCAGTCAAAACTCAGCTGAGAGGTTTTAGAAATAATGAGAAATTAGTTTAAAAAGAGCTAATACCGTAATTTCCAGACTATAGAGCGCAAATCAATATAAGCCGCACCAACAAAAAAAAAAAGGTTTTCTACACACACATCGCACTCAAATACAAGCCACTGCGCAGCAGCCACATGCAGGTCTCCGGCGCACAGCGCATATACGGCCATAACATAAGATAATTAGACAGAAAGACGCTACACGGAGGTTTTTCATAGTTGTTTTAATTCAACAAAACGAATTTTAAATACGGGTGAATGTGCCTGCAAGTTTAGAAAAGAAAACAGCACTGATAGCATTCATATGAATAAACATTTTGTCCCTATTCTAGTTTGTTTCCAAGAGGAATTGTCTTTGAAAAGGAATCCAAGACTCATGATTGGCTGGTCATTGATGGCCTGTCATTGGTTCTCTGGGAAGGAAGCTAGAATAGGGACAAAATGTTTTCTACTTGTAGACTTGAGTTTTGTAACTGTAGACTGAGATGTGTGTTTTGAGAGTTGTGATTTGAAACTTGTACATTGACTGTTTTCTGCAACTTACAAAATTAAAGTTTCATGTTGCGTACCAAATGTTATGCGTTACAAAACGAGAATTACAAGTTACAAAATGGAAGTTACATGTTACAAAAAAAGAATTGCATGCTACAAAAAAAAATGGAGATGCTGCATGTGAGAGTGATGCAGAGGAAGACTTTTCTCTACCCACAGCACAAACAGAGCTGCTTGAGTCATGCTAAAGCACATTTGGATAAGCTAGCTTTGGGATAAGGTGCTGTGGACTGATGAAACTAAAGTGGATACCTTCAGCCAGAGTCCAGACTCTCATTGGAAGCTATAGTAAGTGTTAAGAGGCTGCTATTTCTGCAAAAGGAGGATCTGCTAAATTGAGTTAATTTAGTTTTTGTAGTAACCAAATTTTATGCACCCACCTAATTTTGTTTAAATAATTATTGCACACTTTCTGTAAATCCTATAAACTTTGTTTCACTTCTCAAATATATGTCTCCTATATGATATACGGTATTTAAAATTGTATTGTAACAACCAACTATTTACACAGGAAAATCATGAAGATTAACAACGCTTCCCAAACTTTTGCATCCCACTGAACATAAAACAACAACCATGAGTTTTTAAATTCATCCTGAAATAGAAATTTCCAAACAGATTAGCAATGGCTTCAAAACGTTTTTGTACGTCAATAATCTTTTTTTTTTCTCTCCCTTAAAAAGAGCAACACTAATGTCACAATATTTAAGGTAGGCGGGGAATGTAATGTTTAGCTAGCAGGCTAATGCAGAGCGAACATGTCTGTGGTTTGGACGTATTTTAAACCAGACAGCGGAGGCAGAGCAACATCCTCTTGTGACAAGTGGGCACTTAACGTGGTGGAAAAGTCACTACGAACACTCCAAATCTGATACGTCACCTTAAAAACAAGCATATTTCTCTTTCGGCTTTTCCCTTCAGGCGTCACCACAGTGCAGCATTTATCTCTATTATGTCCTAGTCCACTAATACAAAATACATACCATAAACTCCCAGTTCACTGCAGCAACTCAGACAAAAACACAGAAACAGCTAACATTGAAACAAACATCAATAATCAAAGATAAATTGGTAATGGACAGAGAAACATTGTATTTCGCTCTCTCCTGTAGCATCTGAGGCGTGGTGTGAGTTACGGGTGGTAAGAGAAAAGTGAGCCTGCTGTGCCTGCCCAGTAACGGGAATGCTAATCGCTTATGATAGCCAAATATTGAGGGAGTAAACAATTAAAAACATGAGCAATGTACTTCCATAATGTGTGCTTTTTTTGGTAGATAAACTAAGGAAATGACGTACAGTAAAAAATACACAAATGACAACAAAACAATTTGGAAGTGTTCTTTTTTCTTCTCATATTAATGCACTGCCGAAGTATAGGATCAGCACTCTGAATCAGCAGATGCTCAACATGAAATGACTCGGATCAGGAGGAAAAAATGTGATCAGAGTATCTTCAATTCTAATGTTAACAGCACCCCTGGTCGATCTCTACTATATTTATTATATTCACTATTTTTCATTTTACTGTTAATATTCTGTTCAAGTTTTTTTTTACATAAGTCTTATTCTCAGCTCTTTGTCTTGTGCAGGGACATTTTCTCACATATATTTTGCACAATTCTTGAATTTTTTTACCTTCTGTATCACTTTTTGGGTCAGCTGGCAAAAACATGTCTAACGTATCTAAATGCTCCATAAATGTGCTTTATGAAAGAAGCTTTTGACTCTCAGACTAATTGATGACGAGATTCTGCATGAAACTGCTGCATGTGAGGAACTAATGCTTAGGAGTATGGGGTCAGAGGAAAGGTCATCAGGGTCTACTCTAAGCCTGAAAGCTGCTCTTCAAAATCAACTCGACAAACTCAGTTTGGCTCCACTGGGTGTAAGGTTAATGAGAAAGAGACCATGGGGTTTAGCCTAAATCAGGTGATTCCTCACAAGACCGCAGCAGAACATGACAAAAGACAAGAAAGTGGGCTAAATCTAATAATAAACTGTTAGAAACTGACAGCAGCTGAAGTGCGTCAAGGAAGGAACCACTTCACAAAACGGGGCTTTCCTTTGGCAGTTGGAATGTTCTCTAATATTTCACATGCCACAAATCTGATTTTACCATCTAAATAAATGTTTCTTCTGCTTTTCACTCATAATGACAGACTTCAACAGATGACTTTTTTTGTATTTGTAGCAGCAAAGATTTCAACATCGAAGAGAAACAAAAGAAAACTTATAAAAATTTGAGAAGTTTCCATTATTGTAAAGGTCTGCTTGGACGTAAGGTACCCAAAATTTGTGTGTGCTTTATTATTAAAGGTAGGTACAGATGCTTTGGATTAATTAAACGTGCAATACCAAACACATCTCTATGTTTTCTATTCACAAATCAAACTGAAGAGATCGTTTCGAGATTATATAATTAACTTTGCGTTTAGAGAAATAAGAAGTTGAAAATGTTTCTGTGCATTTTCATTTGAAGACAGACTGAAATAATCAAAGGTTGAAGTGAGAGTCAGATTGAGTTCTTCAGAGGAATGATTCAACCTTTAACTCAGCTGCAGCTGTTGGTGATAAATTGTAAAAATCGTTTGCGTAGGGTCAAATTTTTGGTGAGTTGCAGGGCCTAGCTGTTGTGGTGGTGGGACTTTAACAAGAAAAATGTTTGCAACAACTTTCCTTTCAAAATAGCCGCACAGTTCTCCAACTTGTTCATTTGCAACCCCTCCTCAACTTTGTTTCAGCAAGACAAAGTGCAAGAAAAGTGAGAGAACTTTGGGTGGGGTTGGAGACTAAAATGCAAACAATATGAGACACAATTAAAGCATTTTGTGTCTAAATAAGTCCAAAGAAATGACACAACAGTTGAACAAATATCCAAATTTGCTTGCAATAATGTCAGAAAGCCCATGTGGTCAGCCATGTGGAACACTTCTTGTATGAGCACAGTGGGATGGGATGTTTTTCTTTTTTGTTCTGAGGAAAAATACTTCATAGGCAGAATCAAGTCTGTCTTGGAAATTTACTAAGAATTGACACAAATGCAAACACAAGGGAGTTTCAGAGGAAAAGCTTGGACGGTTAAGGGGAAACAATGCATGCGCATGATCACATCCTTACCCGGATCATTTCTGCCACATAGCTTTCTGGTCCGGTGAATTCAGTGGAGTCCTTCACCTTCACCAGGACGATGAAGAACAAGTAGTGCCACATGTTGTGCTCAACTTTGATGTGTTCTTCAAAAGTAACAGTCTTGTTGTCAAACTTGTCTCTCTCCAGACCTACAAAAGGACAAACAAAACCCCCCATACACCCCAAACACACACACACACACACACACACACACACACACACACACACACACACACACACACACACACACACACACACACACACACCAAATAAACATGATCTCATTTCTTAGGAAGAGTGAAGAAATATGCCTTGTTGCAAGATGACATAATTGCTCTTGTGACCTAAATGAGGGTGGCTGAGAAAATAAGAGGAAATGGGTCATGCGGGAATGGACAGATGAAGCATCAGAGGTCAGCGGTGCTCGGAGTGGGCTTCATCTTTGCTGCTTACTGTATTTACACTCAATCCCAGTAAAGATTATTCTAAAGAGTAATGAGCATCAAGAGTTTTCCAGCTCAAATCCGACCACTGATGATTATTCAGAATAAATGTGAATCAGTGACTGCGTGTGTGTGTGTGTACAGTCTAATGTGGTCAAGCTTCATATGAAAACAGGAAGAAACACTCCTCCACAGCAACACCTCCAGTGACTAACCATTCATTCTGGGAAGAGGAGGCGTTCTGTGTGTTTTTTTGTTACACAGAAAAACAGCCCTGATGTGAATCTGCCGCACAGACAAGAGTATGCTCAGAGCAGGCCGCTCTTTATATTACTCGACTCAGGCCCTGAGCAACGTGGCACTGAGTGATAGACTCCAACCAAACTAAAGGGCATACTTAAAAAATGAAAAAATTCACCAAAGAGTACAATTGCGTGGTGATAAAAAGGCAGGAAAAGACGCAACAAAGATCATGAATTCCCACAGGGAAGGTTGTAAAGTAGCATAATTAGTAGATTATAAACCAACAGATAAATAAAAAAACACACTAAAAAACAAACTTGTAATATTAATAAATGCATTTCCCCACCGCAAATAAAACATGTTGTCTTCAGGATTTCTTCTTTCTTCTGTTTCTCGCTCCTCAGGTCGGCAAACGTGTCAATGATGACACCAAAGATGAGATTGAGGACAATAATTATGACCATGAAAAAGAAGAGCAGGTCATAGATGACTCTGGCTGCAAACAAAGGTTCCTGTGGAGGTCATGAGAGGAAAACATGTGAGTTTCATGCTCAGTTATAATGAGTTTGTGCCAGAATCCTCAATGAGGTGCTTGATCTCAGTGCAGCTCGTGATACTGGACCACAATCTCCTTCTAGACAGGCTCATAAAGTGGGTGGAGCTATCAGGTACAGTCCATAGTTGGTTCAGACAGGGGTTATGTTGTTTCGATTACTGATCTAAAATCTAAGCAGATCACCATAACATATGGGGTCCCCCAAGGTTTTATTCTTGGACCACTGCTCTTCAAGCTCTACATGCTCCTCCTGGGTCAGGTCACATACAATAACATTACCTATCATAGTTATGCAGATGACACCCAGATCTATCTAGCTCTACCACCTAGTAACTGTGGTCCCCTAGACTGACTCTGTCAGTGTTTGAAACAAGTTAATGACTGGATGCAATCAAACTTCCTCCAGTTAAACAAAGACAAGGCTGAAGTTATCGTCTTTGTCTTTATTTCTCTGGATCCAAGCTGAGCAACAGCCTCCATCGTATACTTCTTATTTCCAAAGACCCAGGTTAGAAATCTTGGTGTCATAACTGTTTCAGACCTGAGCTTCACTCGTCACATTAAGGCTATCAGCGTTTTATCATCTTCATCACACAGCACGACTCAGAGGTCTCATGTCCAGACAGGACCCAGAGAAACTCATTCATGTGTTCATCCACAGCAGGTTGGACTATTGCAGTAGTCTATTGACTGGTCTTCCTGAAAAAGCTGTGAAGCAACTGCAGCTTATTCAGAATGCTGCTGCTAGAGTCTCAACAAGAACCAAGAGATCCGAGCACATCACTCCTGTTCTTAAATCTCTACACTGGTTACCAGTAAACAACAGAATCCATTTCAAGGTTTATGAATCACTAGTAGGTCAACTTTTAAATGAAAATTAAAAATGTATTTATTTATCTGCCTTTAGTGCTTCTTATATGCTGCACCTTCAGCACTGTAACTAATCAGTCTTAAATGTAGCCTGTTTTTCTTTATCAAAATGCAACTTTAAAATTGATTTTTAAAAATATTGTTTAGTTTTGTCAAGTTCATTAAAAATGTGATGCTAAAATGTACTGTTTTATGTTTTTGTTGCTCTTCTGCACCTGAAAAGCCTCTGTGTTTGAAGTGTGCTATATAAATAAAGCTGCCTTCCCTACAAGAATATTGAAGTCACTTCCAAACAGAGCTGTGACTCAAATTTCTATTAAAAACATGGATTTTACCAACAAACAAATAAGTAAATCCAAAAAAACCAAATAATATTTTAAAGGTTTTTGTAGAAAACTAAAAGTGTGTAGCTGAAAGGCGTCAGCTTTCATGGATCTAGGTTACATAATGTTTTATTTATTTTCTGTTTTAGTGGTTGCATCAGCAAATCGCTTCCCTGTTGATAGTTTTCAGAAGCCTCCCTGAGTCCATGTAGTGATTTCTACTGCTGAATAATGTCAGACTTTTAATACAGCGCCGCCCGCGGGAGTGAAGGTCATACTTCATCCTGATCGCAAGATTCCTGCAAACAATTCTCTTTTTGATGAAATTTCTTTGTTTCTTCACTGTACACAGAGTAAATAGAGATTGTTTTTACCTTTAGCGACTCGGGGCTTGCAAGCTCTATTTACTCTGTGTATAGTGAAGAATCAGATAAGGAGCACAGAACAAACCTAAGAAAGATGCTTAAAAAATGACTCTTTTGGTTTTGGATTTCAACTCTACCCAGGAGTGACTATTACTTAGAAATTAGTTATTAATAAATAAAATCACATTATTTTTAAATGAATTTGATCTAGTAAACAGTTAACAAAATGAAAAATCGTGCTGTAAGATTTTTTTTAATTTTACGAACAGAAAAATAAGCAGATGAAGGCTTCGATGTCTGATTATTACCGTTTATGAGTTATTAATAACCTGTTTCCTTTGATATATTTGACTGAATCTCATTAGAATTTGAGTATTTGGATAAACTGGTAAAAGTAAAGTAAAAAGCAAACAAGCAGACTTCTGAAAAAGTGTGGACAAGGAGCTATTATCTAGTGTCACATTAACAAGTCATGTGTCAGACATGAGCAGACATGACTGAAATCAATACAGAAAATGTGAAAGATGTTAATCTAAAGGAGGTTTATATTAGATATAGGAGTCATCCCCTCACTTTTGGATCAAGCCTCACATTAAACTAGCTGTGACGGAGTGCATGCTTGTCTTCATCCTGCATGAGCTAATTTAGTTATTTCTGGAATGCCCGAGGTTATGACAGTCGCTGACCTTCCAGCGGAGCACGTCTCTCACGCCCGTCTTCAGGCAAACTGCAGCTGTTGTTTCAGTTCTCACCAAACAATTCTTCTGCAGGATTCAAACCAACTAAAAGCTCCATCTTTCACTAACTAGATCAGATTTGTCCCGTACATTTGAAGATCAAAGAAAACTGAATGATGTTTATTTTTTATCATCTCATCTCAACATAAAAGACATCTCTGAGATCTGTCAGTGTTCTTGGTTAGCTTTAATTTAATTCAGCTTAATGTAATCTCAGAGTGTGGGGTATGAGTACGTGCAAGAATGTTTTACGTGTGTTTCTAAAAAGAAGAGGACATCTCATTTAGCCCTCAACTAAACCTTGTTTTATCACATTCTTGTGATCTTCCATGCGACTATTTCCTCTGTTGTTGCTTCTGTACCTCTTTGGATGGCTTCCGCAGGACGTCCCCTACACCTCCTCCACTCCTGAGGCCGTGACTCAGTACTGTGACAATGCACATGAGTAAGGAATCACACGTTCGCTCTTTGTCCTCAATCACCACTGACGGCTGGACAGCAACAGAAGCTACGGAAACAACAAAAGATCATCTTGCGACTTCTCTGATCTGCGTCGCCATGTTCTGTCGGCGTAAAAGCAGGAAGTAACCATGGCAACAGATTCAAGAAAATTCAACATATTCCTTCAAATCAAGTGTGTGTATTTGAGAAAGCATCTCGGCAACTGCCACACTACCTTTTAGCTAAACTATGACAAAGTTAGACATTTTTAGCTTTGGTCAGCTGAAGATGTTCATCTAAAGATTACTTTGAGTGTTTTATGAAATTCATTCAGTGGTTTGAGACACTTTGCTAACAGGCAAAATTGAGCCCAGTAGCAAAGTGACTTAATGACACATTGTATGATCAAAATGTCCCAGAGCTAGTAAAACACATTGTTTTTAAAAATCAGAAGGCTGGAGCACTCAGGTGAGCCAAGGTTTATTAGGTGTGAGTAAAACTCACAAAAACACACCCAGTGTCGAAACGAAAAGTTTCCCTTTTTTACTCGCACCTACTAAACCTTGGCTCGCCCGAGTGCTCCAGCATTCCCATTTTGTTTTCTTAGTATCCGCCTGCTGGGCAGCACTGATTTGTGAGTGGGTGATGCAGAGGGCTCCATTCTTTACACCGTGTTTTAACTCAATATGTGTTCAATTAAAATTGTGGCTGCTTTTGTTACTGTTAATGTTGATTCGCATAGCAATCATCTTGGAACCAACTCCAAAAGAGTCACATCAATCACACTCGCGCGCACACACACACTTTCAGCTGCCATCTGTGTATGTGTGTGTGTAATGGACTTTGGGACTAAAATCTTCTCATTGGTTTGTGGACGTAACTCCACCACAGGTGCTGCGTCGACTTAATACTAGTGGGAATTTTCTCACTAATGACATGATCTCTATCAAGCTAGAAAGAAATGACAGACTTGGAAGCTTAGACAAGGTCAGGGGTCAAGCAGCTTGAGGATTAGATCTGCTTGACTGATCAGTTTTAAGATCAGGCTGAATGGGGCTTTTTCCGTCGAGATCAGTCATTTGCGAGAACGTATTGTTTGGAGTTAGAGGCATTCTGCTCCATCACTGAGTGGACCCATTAGTCTGCCTGTACCTTATGGGTTTAATCATTGACCTTTGAACTTTAGCCCCCTACAGACCACGAGGAGTCTAAACCCTTGGTGTTTCACCTAGTTCTACCAGAGCCAGCAGTTTGTTCAACACCAACTGATCACACAGCTGAGTAGGCCATAAAGTCCTTCACATAAAAAACATACAAGCACAAACACATGGAGAGCAGCCATGAGAACACAGTCACACATAAACACTCAGGAATCTGACACAGGCACAAACATGTGGATTGAGGCCCTGTCCACACGTAGCCGGGGATCTGCCAAAACGTAGATATTTTTCTACGTTTTGGCCTGTCATCCACTCGAAAACTGAGTTTTTTCACACGAAAACGGATCTTTTTAAAAACTCCGGCCAAAGTGAAGATCTGCGTTTTCTCCGTTTCGGGTGTCTGCGTGTGGACGGACAAAACCGGAGTTTTAAGGTCCGCAACGTCACTTTCCGCGACAAAAAATGCTGACATCACGTGTGCGACCTGTGCTTACACTAGCCGACAGCATGGATGCCCTCAGAGCTGCGCTCGCTTTATCAATTGTCCAAGCGCTTTTTGCTCGTTTGTTTTTGCAAGAGGAATTACTGCTCCTTGCAGAAGACCACAGGAAGACGAAAAGTTACGCTGACTGGATACAATTTGGGGGAACACTGCCGCCTACAGGTCTGGCATGTCCTTAACAACGTATTTATCCGGGTACGTGTGGACAGAGTTTCTTTTTTTTTAAACGAGGTGGTGTGGATGCAAGTTTTTGGAGGGGCGGATATTCGTTTAAAAAAAACCCGGCTACGTGTGGACTAGGCCTCAAACTTAAAAGCGCCTTCTCACGTTCACTTTCTCACTCAAATTATTTTGTCTTTTACTTTGTTAACCTACCCTCCACTACAGCTTCTGCAGAGCAGTTTTCTCCACTTTCTTTCTGACATGCTCCACCAGAGAAGAGCTCTCCCACCATGCTGGCTCCATGTTCTGCTCAGTGAGAACACAAAACAAACAAGATTACATTTTTTTTACAGTTCAACTACAGAAACACACGCACAAGGATGTTTATTAATGAATGCTTAAACAGCACAACACCTGCCATATATGTTAGCTACACTAACTGGCCACTAATGAGGCAATCCCATGGCAGCAACGCATTTAGCTGTAATGAAGATACATTTCTGAAGTTCATTAAATTTATACATTTAGGAACAAACCTCAAAAATGTTATTATTACATGTTTCTGAACAGTTAACATTTAGTTCTCTGAACAACTTCAATTTGGAAAAACAAAGATTAGTTCTAATAGGATTAATGAGCTAATGACTAGTCTAAATGGTAAATGGCATGCATTTATATAAGACCTTCCAGAGTCCTACAACTCCCACAGTAGGGCTGGTTGATCACACTGGGTGATCACAATTTTTTTTATTTATTTTTTGTTTTGTTCGATCGCAGTGATCATCTATGAGACTAATTTCTCAATCAAACATGGTGTGAATTGTGTGGTACTAGGAGGCAGTAATGCTCCTTGCATGTTGGTTGCCCGTCACCATTAAATGAAAAGATCAAGTGTGTGAGGTGGGATGGGTTGGCGGGGGTGGGGGGCAACATTCAGATTCCACTTTCCCTGCTCTACTACTCACAAAAAGAAGATAGACCCGTTTCCACATTCTACTTAAATTTTGTTGTGCGTCTTCATTTCACCGGCCGGCCTGAAAAAGACCATTTTTGGAGTGCTTGAGTGGGAGTATTAACTCAGAATTACCAGGTAAAGTCGTTAAGCTGGACTTGTGGTTAACAAATGCTGATTGATTGTAACTCAGTAGGAAATGGCATCCAACATGTTTTCAAATTGGTTCCAATGTTAATGTCCTACCGAGGTGTCTGTTCTCTGTTAGCCATTTAGCTAAGGGAGCAAGGAGACATGCAAGGTGCCTCATTGTCTTCTCTTAGTTAAAAATTTCCCAGAATACAGCACAGTATTTTCAAAAGGAGGGTGGATCAGGAGCCAGCAGCTTCTTCGGGGGCAAATTTCTAGTTTGAATGTAAGTTAACTAATTGTAGCTATCGGCCTGATATCTAAAATGTTTTTCTTTTTTATAACCAAAGCAGTTATCTTTGGTTGGTTAGTTGCTTAGTAGTGGCTTTGGTGGCTAGCAGGAAGTAACTGTACTAAGCAAGTAAATGCTTGCTTAGTATGAGAATTGCTGTAAAGTCAATGACACTAGTCAGTGACTTGATGCAATTTGCTGGGTTCCTCATATAGGAAACCTTTTACTGATTGGCTTAATGATCTGACCTGTATTGGAATGTTTACTGTGTGAAGTGCCTTGAGACGACTTTTGTCGTGATTTGGCGCTATATAAATAAACTTGAATTGAATTGAACTCGCTTACATATTTAATTAAACCAATGTATACACAATAAAAAAGTAAAAGGCTCATGTATGTATGAAATATAACTGTTCCATTTAACAGTCTTCTTTGTCCAAGGAAGGACTGTGTCCTCATAAGCATCACGTCTTATCATTTTTAAAAATCCTGGACATACTGACATGGGCAAAATTATGTCTGTAAGAGTCATTAATTTTCGTAAAGTACATTTTCAGTTTACCGCCCAGCCCTACTTCTCAAGTTTCTCTAAACTGAGGTTGTTCAAAAAGCTATCAACACCAGATGGTAATTGTAAGATTGTAATTGCTTAAAACGTTTCCACAGAAGAATCACTACAGCAAAGAAAAGAGAAGGAACCTGTATTTCAAACATACCTAGAGTTTTATTGGGTATCCTGTCTACAGCCAAAATGAAGTCATCTTTGAAGAAAATGTAGCCCACAATAGAGAAGAGGTAGACGAGGATGAGGGCCAACACGGCAGTCAGAACGATAGAGCGTCCATTACGGGTGACACTCTTTATCACATTCAGTAAGGTCTCTTCGCGGTAAACCAGATCAAAGAGCTGGAAGAAAGACAGATTTTTACTTTGGGGTACAATCTCTATGTGAACTGAGCATTATAATGCATGGAAAAGCTTTGTAAAAATGTGCATCAAGACTGTTAAATGTATCTGGATAGCAATGATCAAATTACCAAATTATCTTCAAATGTATATATGTTTTTCATGTTTTTTATGCAAACTCACATACCAGCAGGCTGTAGAAGAAGACATGGACAAAGACCCCTAAGGTGCAGATAATTAGGTAGAGCAGGTGGTACAGGAACTCCACGTCCATGATCATGGCTATGTATCCACGTGTGAAAGTCCCTCTGTTCCCAACGAAGCTCATCAGAAATATCACCTTGTTACATAACTGAGGGACAATACAAACCCCATGGCTATCTGAGTAAATCTATGCAAAAAGTCTGAATGTGACACTGAACATTGATGCACTGAACCATACTTACATTAAAAGACCCAAGAAGGAACAGCGTGGGCTCTAAGCCCACAGAGAAGATGAGACGCAGGATGGTGGAGGCAATCAACGCCCTGATACCATGTGGCTGAGGCAGTACTATAACGATAGCCAGAGACACCAGCATGGCCATCCATAGCAGGGCAGACAGGTGGGGCTCCAGAGTACCTGACGATGCAGTAAATCAGCAATAATCATTTATGTTAAAAAAAATACACAAGAAAAACACAATTCCTCTCAAATAAATGGTCCATATTCTGAGCTCATGAGGTGATATTGTAACAAACTTGTTTATTCCTTTCAGGTCTTCAGATGACAATCTTGACATTTAAAATTGACATACAGATAAAAATTAATGTTGTAAAATAAAATACATTTAAATTAAATATTAATTATTTTACAAGACCACACCTGACACATACAGTCACACACAAACACAGTTACACACTCCCTCCCTCATGCTCTTGTTACACCCCTGTAAAAGGGGAATAGAGAAGGAAGCACGCAGACACGCTGTGAGTTCAGCCGTTTCCACTGTATTAATGAATGAGTGGAAGCTCTGCGTTTCCCTTCGCGCCAACTCAGACCTGACTAGTCAATGCCAAACCAGCTAAAAACGTTTAATAACAAACTATAGAATAGCACTTGGTCTCCAAAACAATAGATAAAACTGTAAACATAAAAGGCAATACTTAGGCAAATACATTAGAAGCACTTTTTATAAGCAAATTTTGTGTCGTCTTGACAAGGCAGGAATAATCGATCACAGATCACTCAATCTTCAACTGCAGTGCATTTTAACCCTCACTCATGAGCAAAATAGCATTTTAGATAAACTTGTCTTCTAAATTACGAAATATATTTTCAACAAATCACTCATTTCAATAAAGTATGTTTTTAACTAGCTTAACCATGAAATAAATCAAACATTTTAAACCTGTTAATCACGGAATAAAGGCTATTATTTTTAACTTATTCAGTCTACAACCTCCACACATTTCAGTCTACAACCTCCACACATTTCAGTCTACAACCTCCACACTCTCACATAAACACATACAGCCTAATGACACAAAAAGGTACGTCACACACCCACTCATACTCCCCATACACACCCTACTCACTCTGGCCCCGGCACTGCAGCACAGACGGCACAACGGTTCCTGGACCCCAGAGCTAACCCTGTTCTACTGGGGTAATAATGAGCAGGCATCCCCGCCCAATGCAAAGAAAGGCAACCCACCACCCCAGACCGTATCCAGATGGCCAGTTCCCACTCCTAGCCTCCATTACCGGGCAGCCAACAGGGAACAGTGGTGTGATAAGACCGCTAGTGTCTCGCTGCCTTCTCCAATGTGGTGGGGGAAAACTCGGGGGGGGGGGGGGGGGGGGGGGGGCTTCCACTGGGTTTGAATCTGGGACTCTCCACCATTTGACCTTAGAACTGAAGAAGCCTCTCGGATGAAAGGTGAAACGTCTTCAAGCAACTCAAAGAAGTCCAGACGCTTTTGTTTCAAAGCTCCTTAGACTACAATGACCTGGATGACTGAGAACCTTCACAGACATGTTAAAGTACATTCCATTGTTGGGAGGATGGGGCAGTGAAGGCATCATCTGGCCCACATCAGCTGGCACCAGGAGGAAGAAATGTCTGATGATGGGGAGGAATGGCTGGGAGGCCTGAGCCCTCCAGGGAGCCAGCTTCCCCGCTGACCCCTATAGGCACCCACGTTACCAAAATCCAGCCGGGGCATGGAGACCCCAGCTCATCTAGCAAGGGCCCAAATGAGCAACATCGTAGAACCCCACAGAACCCGGGGCCACCAACACAGCCCCATCTCAGCAGAATAACTACTTCTATCCTCCTCAAGCTACCAGGCCCTCACCCAGACCCACCAAAGGGTGGCGCAGTCACCAGGCAGCAACCCAGTGGCTGCCGTCAAGACCTCCCAAGGCCCCACATACTAGCCAGAAGCCCACCCCCCATAGCCACCCAAGCACCACAAGAATGGGGCAACAGCTCCCTGGCAGCGTTAGAGACAGACATGTGGCAAAAACATTCACACAGTGTTGCTGTGAAGATGCCCCAGCATACCCACAGTTTACCACACAGAAGACGGATTAAAGCAAGCTTTTAAAATGAAGAGCAGAGTTATCAAAACAGTCAAACTGAACTTTATCCTGAAGTACACTGAAGTAATTTATCGTGTTGATAGACAGCTCTGTTTGCACTTTCTGTTTGAGTAGCACCCATTGGCTGATCTACAGAACCAGTCACCTGACCTGAAACTCAGGATGTACAGTCTGGACTCATTTGAGGTGTTTGAAGGGAAAAGGTTCCCAATAACAGTTTCACTTTTTTGCTTAAATACTGTTTCAAGTTTTTACTTTAGAATAACCAGTTCAGTGATGGCTCTTCCAAAACCCGTTTGAGATCTTGTCTACAGCTGGAGGTCAACAGAACTAAATTATTGCATCCTGGAATGACTCTTTAAGCTCTCATAAGACTGTAACGTGATGAAGGAGCTATTCCTCTGAAGGTTATTTACCTTCTCTCCACAGATGCCTCTGACACTACTAAGCTGCATGAGACTGCCTAGAGGTCATGCATTTGCTTCTAAAACTGCTTTCTTTCCAGCTCAAGAGAAGATTGAAGATAAAGGACTCTTTCCTTTTAATAAATCAAAGAACTCTATTTTTAATAAAGCTAATCAAACAAAGTGTTAGTCAATAATATAATGTTGACCGATCTGTGAAATGACAATGTTATGATTAATGTGCTTTAATAAGTAATATGACTTAATCTAGCTGCACTAGACATGCTGGCTACACATAATGTAAACACATGACACATTGCTTTCACTGATCCAATCAGAACCTTCTTTTCTAAAGCGTGGCATAGTCTCTGTGGTGTTTATAAATCTGCCAACTTTGATTCGACCAGAAATCAAAACATCCAGATTAATAAAACCAGCCCCCACGCCATCTTAGTTCAGTTCTCTGAGTTCTCTACAGTTCACTGCAGTTCACCGCATGCTAAGCGAAGTATCGGACCGGCCATCCGGACTTCCCTTTTAAGCAAAGAACCAACAAGCTGGATAAAATCTGTTGCATTTTACCAACCAGGCAACGGTTCCTTTCAGAATAAAAGCTGAACTCACTGACCCAAAAAATAAAAAGCTTCCGTTTAACGCCTTCACAAAAAGAGATCAGGTTTATCAGACAAATAAAAATCACCAATTCTTCCAGTGACGAGTATGTGACTGTTCTATAAATAAATGGTTATATGTGTGCTACTAAGTGAGATGATTATTACAGCCTAACCTACTTCACACTGGACGCATCTGCGGTGCGGAACGGCACTGCTTCAAATTACGATCCATTATAGTCTATGAGAGTGATTGAAACCAGCTGCAATGCGGACATTTTCTGGCACGTCCCAGAAGTGGCTGCGCCACGCCGCTAAAAATATTATCGGGTTCCATTTTCGCCTTGTGCTGCTTCTAGGACACAGCATTTGTAGTTTATAACACATGGTCTCCTCATCATAGTTATTCCAGAGGGCACATAAGAGGAATGGGAGTACATGGAGCTGGGTTTTAATTTTAGTATCATTTAGAAACAGTTGTGATTAAAGGTTTTCATATTGAAGAATTTTGTATAACACTACAATGATAAAATTCAAACAGTATGTTATTTATTGTGATATTTATCAAATAATGTTACTGAAGAAAACAAATGTATATTTAGTTGAAGAAGAGATTTAATTTTTAAACAACCAAAAGTATCAAAAACTTGGTAACGTTAAGTACCAGTATAAATCCCTAGGTACCGAGAACTGGTACCGTATCGATTCAAATGTCAAAGGTACCCGTCCCTAGAAAAAGGATGCATTTGCGTCGTCTTTGACAGTGTATGGCCCTGTTGACTGGAATCCGTAGTGGTATGTCACGTTGTTCAATGTCCAATAGCATGCGAAGACTGAAAGACAACAGTAGATCTCACCTCTCAACTGAACTTTCCCTATGGGTCAGGGCCACACTATACAGTAAAGGCCAAAAGTTTGGACACACCTGTGTTGTCTTTATTTTCATGACCATTTACATTGGTAGATTCTCACTGAAGGCACCAAAACTATGAATGAACGCACGTGGAGTTATGTACTTAACCAAAACAGATGAAATAACTGAAAACATGTTTTATATTCTATTTTCTTCATAATAGCCACCCTTTGCTCTGATTACAGCTTTGCACACTCTTGGCATTCTCTTGATGAGCTTCAAGAGATAGTCACCTGAAATGGTTCCCAGAGGTGTTTAGCACTTGTTGGCCCCTTTGTAAATGGTCATGGTCAATAGAGACAACACACTGAAAGAGAAGGAAGAGACATTTGGCCTGTACTGTATATTCACTTATATAGGATGGTTTGCCAGGCTAATGAACTCTTGCTAAAATCCAACTGGCTTAGAGAACAGCTGGTATAAGGCAAGAGCAGGTATAAGGCACAAAGACTATCCAGATTCTTCACAGCGTGATAAATGAATTGACACGTTTGGTCGTGATGTTGTAATATTTAAACAGAGGACAGAGTACTTAACCCAAATTACACATCCAAAGATCCTCATCACATTATGTTTAAGCTCATTTTGGTTGGAGAGGAACTCTTCTATTAAAATAACCCCGCCCCCTGAGAAATCTAACCGAGCCAATCAGCATTGAGCAGGTGTACGTCACACACTGCAACGCTCAGTTTGTCATTAACAACGAAGTCAGTGTCTGAAGCGGAGTTCGCTGCGGCTCTTTCCTCAGTTCTGAATGACTTGGGCATGTCTTTAAAACCACAACAAGAAGCACTAAAAGCCTTTCTTCTAAAAAAGATGTTTGCGTCGTTGCCAGACTCCATTTTTGACATCAGCTAGAAAGAAGTACAGAGTCGCGCCGTACAGTCGGCATTTCCTTTAATTATTATTTTTTTTGATTGGTTATTTTTGAGCTGGCTGGTCCCGCCCCTCATGTGCCTCTCTGCCTGTGAGTAACCAGACTAATTCTCTATGTAGAATTAAACAGGCAGGCAGGCCAGGCTAAGAGGCTCCACCAGTAGTACAGTGCTGTGTTAAAGTTACAAAGTTGTGATGCACTAATAATGAGCCTCACTCTTTGTGGTCCGATCAGACATTCCAGATGCTCTGAAATAAATATTGTTAAACACCGTTAAAACCCATTTTAAAATTAGGAACTGTGATGCTGTTATCCGCTCAGGAGCTTTTATACATGAACCTTTCAGCTGTGGTCAGCTATCATATTGTACATCTCCTGCTCCACCCCTGAACTCAGCAGTTTTCGTTTGTTTAACTCACTCCCATTTCTTGCACAGTAACAGAGTATCAGACACACACTGTGCTCACCACAGTGCATTAAAAACGTGCTTGCAGCTCACATTCAAAAAGATCTGTTGTTTTCCATGATTTAAGAGACTAGGTGAACGAGACCACCTGAATATGTCATGCGCGCTTACTAAATCAAAACAATCTCACTTTTAGAGCATGCACGAGTATCAGAGTATCGTGGTCTATTATGAAGCAAGTGTGTGAACCCCAGGAACCATTTGGCTGAAAATGCAACTAAGCTATAACTAGACGACATTCTGCCTAAAAGTGGTGTTTTTCATCTAAGTTTGTTTTAGATGACACAAGGTCTGCATTTAGTTATAACGGGGACTTAGTGAAGGTTAGCTATGAATTTTCCACATATTTTCCAGATTTTATAACAAACATGCATCAATGGATGAGCACCATTAAAGCCCTACATGAGGCAATTTTTTAATCCCACTTGCACCCATTAAATTTCTTACCATCACTGCCTTCTCCCACAGGCCGTTTCCATCACAAGCCTATTCCCCCACCACATTTGCTCCACCCACAATAATGGATTGAAAAAAGACGCAAGTTACACTGAGGAACACTTATAAGCAAAGAACGTTGCATTTCAGGACAAGCTTTTTCATATATCCGATCTGCTGTACTTTTAGTTTTCAACTCTCCAGTCTAAATTTTATTACCAAGCTCAGTTGTACTCTGTCCAACCAAAAATCTCGAACTGCAGTCTTTTTTGAGCTACTCGCTTCATCCTGCAGCAGTCTTATGACCACTCTGGTCTCCACGAGATATGCATTGACACGAGTGACCCGTGGGAAAACAGCCCCACTACTGGGCTCTACACCACACGTTAACCTCTTTGTGGGTAATGAGATTAAAAAAAACAAAAAGACAAAAATGATGAAGACCAACCTCCACGAAACCCTTCCAGTGGGTAGAAGAAAGCCACAAGGAGGTTCATGAGAACAGCCAGGTTGAAGGAGATGCTACTCCAGAAGGACATGTTCCTGGAGCACCAGTACAGGACGGGCTGGGCTGGAAAACAGAGTGTTAAACAAATCAACAACCATCAAGCTCTTCTGTTCCACGGAGCTGCTGCTTCATCAAGTGTCTCTTCATTGATTCCGATATAAAATAAACACACAGCCGTTTAATAGACAACCACATATACAGTCCCAATCAAAAGATTAAGACCATTTAAAAACCTTATTTTGCATTGCTAGATGAGCTTCAGCATGTAACAAGAAGAAATGGGAGTGAGACGAAACATTTTCTGAGCAGTGATTTATTGAAAACAAAGCTTAAGCTAAAACAAACTGTTTTACAGCTACTTCTACCTTTCTCACTCTCGTTTATTCTTTTTGCATGTTGAAGCACTATTTCAACTAACAAAATCAAATTTTTGTCCATTTTTTTAAGTGGTCTTAATCTGTTAATCAGTAGTGCAAGAAACATGACAGAACGTTTCATAGTTGCAAGCCTTACAGAAAATAGTCTCAAACACTAAAGTTCTGGCTGAGATCCGTTTTCACATTTTAACAAATTTGGGGGAAAGACAAAACCCAAATGAACTTTTTGGTAGTTTTGTTGTTGATTTAATCAACTCAAGCAGTATAAATGATAACAGAAGATCTAGATGAAAGATCAAATGTCACAATTGTTTTCAGTATAGACACGGTTATGCATATGTGCACAGGTGCGAGCACACATGCACGCATACACACACACACCTGATGTAATAAAGATCTGTGAGCATTTTGCTAATGCTAATGACTAGCTTCTACTAGCAAAGGCATGCTCTGCTCTCTCCTGGTTGCTAAATGAGCACAGCCTTCCTCATTCGCGAGCCAAGGTGGGCGAGTCCATGAATACTAATTTTTCCTGTGGTGTAGAAGAGACTGGCGTTTTCTTACCCAATCGTTTTCCTGTCTATTTCCTTTCTGCAGCTAATTCATTCATTAAGAGTTGAAGAAAGTGTTCACATTCAACCTGCAACCCGGAGTGACAGGTCGCATTTCAGAAAGAAAAAGATGACAGTTTTTTTGTGAATGAGAGCTTTAAAGGTTACTACAGTAAAAACCTTATTCTACCCCTAAACAGTATGGAGCTTATTATCAAGGTTCGGAGTGCTGGTGGTTTTATGTCCACACAACAAAAACGTCCAAAACGGGAGCATCAGCCACAGCCTACAGATCTCGGTCAGGAGACATGTTTTGTGGCTAATACTACTTTGAGCCCAGCTTTTCATTAGAAAAGCAGAACTATGGACGGGAACTTTTAGCAACAGAAGTCACTACATTCATGTCAAGTGGTTAGCAGGAGCGGAACAGTATGGCGTCACGCCGTGCCGATTCATTCACATAGGAAACAGGAGGATTTTTTTCACGTGTGTTCTCATCGCAGTCATGCAACGCCCCTCAGACCTGACCATTGGACAAAACACAAAAAGTGCTTTAACAAACAAAAAGCTGAGAATTCAATTCAATTCAAAAATACTTTACTGATCCCAGAGGGAAATTGATTGCTGTAGTAGCTCAGAATAATAATAATAATAATAAAGTCATCAAAGAGTTATTGTATATTACAATGGCCGTAGAAAGACTAAGTTGGGGTGTCAAAAAGAACCTAAAAAAGGAAATTTCTGAACTGCTATTTAATTTAATCTAATATAAACAGGGAACAGTAGGATTTCTCTATTCTGTCTGCTGAACAAACATTTTCAAGTAAGTAAGGACCATTTTTATAGCACCTATCAAAGAAAAGAAAAGCGCTTCACTTACTTAAATAATTTCAATAAAATTTAGACAAAATCTTATGTGAACAATTGCTTTCCTGCTAGAAAACGATCAATTTGGGGTTTGTCTTTAGTTTGTAAAGAAACAGAATGGAAAACACAAAGCTCCTTTAGCAATATCTATTATTTTGTTTGCAAACAACCTAATGTGTATCACTTTAAACATGGCTGCCATCATTCTTTCCTGAGTATCATCACTGAACAACATATTTTATCAATTAACAAATATATGACAGTAGTATTTACATTCACACGTTCACACACACTTAATTACATATATGATGTGGGCAATATTTTAGGATTCAGTTAGTTCAAAACCCTTTAATTTAATTCTATGAAAATTTCCTCCACATATTTCCCCATCTTTGAGAGGAACTAATTTTAACAATGAGTTTTAAAAATATGGTTCTTCCTTTCATTTTTCCCCAACTTCATTCCAAGTGAATCAGGTTGATTGGTCCATATTTTCCATGCAGATGGCACTTTTTTTTTTCACGATCCAACTAAAATCTTCATTTCTGAGAGCAATTTTCTTTCAACTCTCCTGGACTTGTGCTATCTGAATTGTTTCTGTTCACCTTCATAGCCTCTCACTTCGGGGAGTCCCACGTACATTAGTCCCTCAGCTTGCAGCCTGGACTTTGTGGTGGCCGCTCATCCTTTTTAAAGGAAGCAGGAACTGCATTCTGCGAGTGTTATAGTGTTCAGGAGTCCGTACAAAGATGGGTAGAGCATTGGAATGAAAATATTTAGAACAATATGGTGAAGCTAGAAAACTAGCATTAAATCAGACAAAAGAGTTTTGAACTAGATGGATCTGTTTTTTTTTTGCCCACCTGATAAATATGGATGTATTTACTTGACTCATCCTCTTGCATCCCTCCAGGGTTTACAATATAGAAAGTGTACCCCTTTAAAACACGGACTCTTACAAATTCTAAATAGTTTGTGTTTTTAAAAGTAAAATAAAATAAAGATTATTTGGGCTGTTAAACAAAAAAACTACAACAACATTGTGTTGTTGAGTCAATCTTTGTCTTTGTTGATCTACACGTTAACCTTAGTTAATCGTATGTATTGTCCTTTCTTGATATTTATTTACATTTAAAAATTTAAAAGCAACTTGCTTTTGATTTTCTGTCCAGAAGCGTTTTAATTTATCCTAAAACATCATTTTGATTTACAGATCATATTTTACTGTAAGGTTAGATTTCACCGACAGAGCGATCAATCAGACAGCCTCTGCTTAGAGAGGGATGGAAGAGATGCTGACTTGTGATTTAAAGATCACAAGTCAGCATCTCACAGAGCCACGAATGTCGACCACGAGTTAGCAACAGAGTTGTGAGACAATATGCAAATTGGTAAGTATCGTGCTTTTGTGATGTGTTTTATTCATGACTGGATCGATGGGGCCCATCATAACTGGTTAAACTGCAACATTCAACCAGCTTTTTGTTTTTGTTCTGCCGTGCGGTTATCAACCCCTCCCAGAGTTGTCACCCATTTTCACGCTTCTTACTCGTGGAAACTAAACTGAGCGTGTGAGACTGACTGACTGAGAGCAGTCAACAGAGAGAAAATGGTGTTTTGCAAGTCACAAAGAAATAGCTAAGATTTGGAGATATTTTGGTAATGCTCTCACAAATGCTGTTCATAAAGATACAAGCTTTAACAATGGCTTTATTTACTGTTTGTTTCTGACAGCATTCTCTTTAGGGCTGATTTTTCATCCTGCTGTAACGTTTGATCAGACTCTTTTTACAGTACTTGTGTATTTGCTATATAGGAACAATAAAAAATATAATTTTCTCCTCAGAAATGAGGATTTTATAGCTTTACTCAAAAAGCTGCAACTATTACAATTTTATCTGGTTTCTGCAATAATATTTATAAAGCTACTGTATAATGCTCAGCTGTTAACTGGAATCTACCAAATTCTAGATTTATGCTTCACGTAAAAGTTCGGGTGGTGGCAGTTACAGTCTCCGTCATGGACGTAACTTTGGGGGGGTACAGGGGGGACATGTCCTCCCCCCCACTTTTTCCAAAGTCAAGTTTTGACCCCTGCACTTCTTACCATCCAAAAACAATATTACGCTATATTAAATTGACACTGGTTGAGCTCTAGGACCAAGCGGAAAACAACTGTTTGTGTTGAAGCCTGTTTCCCATTAGAGCATACTGTAAAGATAGCCCCCGTGCCCCCCCCACTTCTAAAGTGAAAATTACGTCCATGGTCTCCGTTAGCAGTGACACAATTTGATTTTCACCAGATGACGTATTTTGATGCAGCAGTTTAGCTCATCTGCTGTCAAATGTACAGTTAACATAAAATCGTCTAATGGGTTTGAGTAAAATTTGCAGTTAAATCTATTAGAAGTTCTAATATATTTAAGTTTATGCGATATTGGAGGGGTAAACAAAACCATCATTGGATGTGGCTGAGCTGGTCAATTCTAATGTTTTCAAAAGCAGAAACCACAGTTTGCCATCAACTGTGCTTTATTGTTTTTAATAAAACACACCTAAGCATTTCTCTACCCACAGTAGAGTACGAGGAAAGGGAATTTATTGGTAAATCCATGGCAACAAAAATGCAAAGGGCCAGGAGGGATGCAAAAGGAGGAAGTATAAAACAGGCAGTAGGATATAAAAAGCTGAGGAGTAGAACGTACAGGGAACGGTGTTTGTGTTACCAGTAGCCTCTTGAGAACCTCGCAGCTTCTTCTGCCAATTCATCTCATTGAAGAGGTCCTCAGAGCGCAGGAAGAAGTCATTGATCTTACTGCCTTGTTCATCCCGCTCTGTGGTGTAGTAGACACGCAATTTGGACTCTTGAGTGAGAAACTCGCAGATGTTAGGGACTGGAAATACGATCTGCTCCATGGTGCGATCCAGTCGTACAATCTGAACACAACAAGAGCAACCGTGAGACACTCAGATGCTGTATCGTGCAAATAAACATTCATGTTAAACTAAATCTTATCAACTTTATTTACAAAACACAACTAAGACAACAATGCAGCCCACCACAGTTCAAACCGCTAATGGTCAAAGCAGATCAAAATGAAATGAATTACAATGGGAAGGGCAACATTAAGTGCATGAAAAATAAAACTAAATTTAAAAAGTTTAGGAAAATTCAAAGGTTGTCAAAATGTCAATCCATTACACACAATAAAGCCCAGTAGTAACGTGTCTTTGACTCTGAAATCTTTAGGAGGGAATGCACTATAGGCACAGATTAGGATCACTAAAGATGTTGGGTCCTCAGGGCACAAATTCATCTGTGAATTGTCTGCATAGCAATGAAAATAAATTCTGTTTTAGTTAAGACTAGGAAGCATGGGGGAATCTTGTAAAAGGTAAAAAAAAAACTTGGTCTTAGGATGAATCCCAGAGGAACAAGGACAAAATCTAAAGAAGCATAGAATTTATGGTTAAATTCTTGACGCCAGGTTGTTAGACGAGTGGGTGAGTAGAGGGAGGTGGAGTGTACAGTCGGTAAAGACGGCTCTCCCTTGCCCTGCCTCCAACATGCCTCCATCTAAAAGGCTAGGTTATCCAGAGTTATCTCTGTAGTTATGCTGCTATAGGCTTAGACTGCTGGAGGACACACTGACCACTTTCCACACTCAACTACTTTCTTCTATCACTACTCTCCAATTGCATTATTTCTTGTTATTTCAGCTTTTAACATAATGTTTTCTCCCCAGAACAAGCTACACTGGCATTCTGCTGAGGCGTTAAAGCCTCCTGGAAGGAGCCATCGGCTAGCACATTACTGCCAACCACTGAACATTTGCTGGTAGTTAGTTCCTGTTAAGGAGTTTTCCTCTCCGCTGTCGCTGCGTGGTTGCTTAGTATGAGGGTTGCTGTAAAGTCTCTGACTGATGACTTGATGCAGTCTGCTGGCTTTCCTTACAATGGGAACTTTTATCTGACCAAATTAACTGAACTCAATTGGAATGTTTACTTTGTGGCCTTGAGATGACTCTTGTCGTGATTTGGCGCTATACTGAATTTTCTAACTTTAATTAAAAATATCTGTCCCCAGAGGGGATTTAGAAATATAATGAGGTAAATGCTGCACTGAGGTCCAGTCAAATAAAAAGGACTCATTTACCACTTTCTACAGCAGCAGTGTCCAATCCTGGTTCAGTAGGTCACTACCCTGCATGTTTCTCTGCTGCATCACACCAGAATTCATAGTTCAAGTATGTTCTGTGGTCATCATGTTCTGCAAAAGCCTTTTAATCACTGATTGATTAAACACAGGTGTTTTGAAGCAGAGACACATGTAAAGCTCTTTCAAGAATTAGATTTGGACACCGCTGGTCTATGAATGAGAGCAGATCATTACAGACTTATCAAAACACATTCAGTTCTACAATGAGTGCAAAATCAATGTGTGGGTGTTGTTACTGAGGCTAACTATTATTAAATACAGTGGGGCAAAAAAGTATTTAGTCAGCCACCGATTGTGCAAGTTCTCCCACTTAAAATGATGACAGAGGCCAGTAATTTACATCATAGGTACACTTCAACTGTGAGAGACAGAATGTGAAAAAAATCCATGAATTCACATGGCAGGATTTTTAAAGAATTTATTTGTAAATCAGGGTGGAAAATAAGTATTTGGTCCATAACAAAAATTCAACTCAATACTTTGTAACATAACCTTTGTTGGCAATAACAGAGGTCAAACGATTACTATAGGTCTTTACCAGGTTTGCACACACAGTAGCTGGTATTTTCCTGCCCATTCCTCCATGCAGATCTTCTCGAGAGCAGTGATGTTTTGGGGCTGTCGCCGAGCAACACGGACTTTCAACTGCCTCCACAGATTTTCTATGGGGTTGAGGTCTGGAGACTGGCTAGGCCACTCCAGGACTTTCAAATGCTTCTTACGGAGCCACTCCATTGTTGCCCGGGTGGTGTGTTTGGGATCATTGTCGTGTTGGAAGACCCAGCCACGTTTCATCTTCAAAGCTCTCACTGATGGAAGGAGGTTTTGGCTCAGAATCTCACGATACATGGCCCCATTCATTCTGTCCTTCACACGGATCAGTCGTCCTGTCCCCTTAGCAGAAAAACAACCCCAAAGCATGATGTTCCCACCCCCATGCTTCACAGTATGTATGGTGTTCTTGGGATGCAACTGAGTATTCTTCTTCCTCCAAACACGACGAGTTGAGTTTATACCAAAAAGTTCTACTTTGGTTTCATCTGACCACATGACATTCTCCCAATCCTCTGCTGTATCATCCATGTGCTCTCTGGCAAACTTCAGACGGGCCTGGACATGCACTAGCTTCAGCAGCGGAACACGTCTGGCACTGCAGGAATTGATTCCCTGCCGTTGTAGTGTGTTACTGATGGTGACCTTTGTTACTGTGGTCCCAGCTCTCTGCAGGTCATTCACCAGGTCCCCCCGTGTGGTTCTGGGATTCTTGCTCACCGTTCTCATGATCATTTTGACCGCATGGGCTGAGATCTTGCGTGGAGCCCCAGATCGAGGGAGATTATCAGTGGTCTTGAATGTCTTCCATTTTCTGATAATTGCTCCCACAGTTGATTTTTTCACACCAAGCTGCTTGCCTATTGTAGATTCACTCTTCCCAGTCTGGTGCAGGTCTACAATTCTTTTCCTGGTGTCCTTCGAAAGCTCTTTGGTCTTGGCCATAGTGGAGTTTGGAGTCTGACTGTTTGAGGCTGTGGACAGGTGTCTTTTATACAGATAATGTGTTCAAACAGGTGCCATTAATACAGGTAATGAGTGGAGGACAGAAAAGCTTCTTAAAGAAGACGTTACAGGTCTGTGAGAGCCAGAGATTTTCCTTGTTTGAAGTGACCAAATACTTATTTTCCACCCTGATTTACAAATAAATTCTTTAAAAATCCTGCCAAGTGAATTCATGGATTTTCTTTTCACATTCTGTCTCTCATAGTTGAAGTGTACCTATGATGTAAATTACTGACCTCTGTCATCATTTTAAGCGGGAGAACTTGCACAATCGGTGGCTGACTAAATACTTTTTTTGCCCCACTGTAAATAGATAAATCTCAATATTTTTTGTTGATATTGTGACTAATCGACTTAATCTTGGAAGTACTACCTGGCATACTCCTGAGTCTGCCAGTTTAACAGGCTTAACTCAGAACATAAGTATTTAATCACCCAGCAATTTTGCTACTTCTCCCAGTTAGAAATCATGGAGGGGTCTGAAATTTGCATCGTAGGTGCTTTCCCAGTGGGAGAGACGTCATTTAAAATTTAATCAGGAAATCACATTGTATTAATTTTAAAGAATGTATTTGTATTGCATTGCTGCACATACATTTTTCAACACCTGGCATTCTGAAAGATTTCTGGCTCTAAAAGACTTGTCACTCTGCCTTTACAATATCCACCTCTACTCCACTTATCCATCTAAGTTAGTATCACCTGTCTGAGCTTGTTAAAGTGTTGGGAAAGTTACTTCAAAACTGTAATGCATTATTTATTACTTGTTACCCTCATTTTAAAGTAATTCATTACATTACAATATTACTGATTTAAAAATGTAAGGCATTACACTACTTTTGCATTACTTTAAGTTACTTTTACCAATACAACTTCAATATGAATCTGGTAATCTGACGCTCAGTGAGCTCATGATATATATGTGGATGGTGATGTGGTGTCTGAGCTAGGGTTGCTGTTAAAAACAGTCAGATATAATAACAGTGCTTTAAAATTATTGTTTATTAAATAAAAGCAACAACAAGCTGTACTCTCAACACGCTGCCATCTTATATTAACTGAGCAGGGAGTGGGGTGGTGGGGGCTCCAAGCCTATATTTGCCTTGGTTCCCAAATGCCTTGATACGGCCCTGGATGTGGGACTGACTTCTGGGGAGATCTGATTCTATCACATGTATGAATGTTAAATGTTTATATATTATTGCTTTTCACTGGTAAAAATGTGTATTGGGGATAAATCTACCTACTTTTTTTCTTTTCAAGCGCTTTGTTTTGTTTTCTTGATTTTATTTGAATAATTTCCGGCCCTTTCTCTCTTTAACCTTCCTGCATGCTGCATGTTTTCTCCGTCTTCCAGAAAAAACTGTTTCCTAGACTTCCTACTTTCTATCAGCCAAAGGGATCTTCACATGCGTGGCGCTCCAGCAGTAATGAGTTGAAATCACCGGGGCACAGATTACGAACTCAGCTGAGGCAAAACACGTCAGAAAAGCACAAAATACCAGAGAATATGCGCTGATATGAACGATCGCAAGTGAATTATTTTGTTTTAGTGGAGCGATTTTGTGAATATAACAGCGGCTGCGTGTAGGACGCAGCTGGAGTATTTGAGCCGTTACCACTGCGTCCTCTCTGCTCATAGAATGCCCGCAAAGCTGAGTCCATAAATGACGTAATATATGCAGATACTGGATCTTTCTTCGGGTTTCCCGCAATTTGAATTTTTAAGGAACACATCTTGATTCTGGGTTTAAAAATGCATTGTAATTACCGCGTTACTGACAATTGTACCGAGTAAATATTACCATTTTCTTTCCCTGTGTTGAGGGTCTGACCTCATGAGGAAATTACTATGCAGTGATTTTCTCCAAAATGACTGTGCTTAAATTGCTCTGGAAAGCAAATAATCACATCAGCGCCAAGAAACTTCATTTCCCATGATGCTTTGCACACGGAAGCATTGGGTGATGTCACCGCCTAGTACCAGAAACACGTTCTGCGCATGTGCGGGAAGCCGTGGAGCTTTTCCCGCGCACTAAGACCATAAATCTTCAGCAGAGACAAAGAAACCTCGTTCTTTTGCCCAGGATACCTGGCGGTAAGGACACGCTTGTCGAACGCTCCGACAACTTGAGCACGCGGAAGCTCTAAGTGCCCAAGT